CTACCTAGTGCAAAACACAAGATTGAACAGTCCAACAGTCAAGATTTGAACAGCGGATCATCAAGGTAAGTGTCGGGATATCACCGCCTACCTACCTAGTGCAAAACACAAGATTGAGCAATCCTACAACCAAGATTTGAACAGCGGAACATCAAGGTAAGTATCAGGATATCACTGCTTACCTACCTAGTGCAAAACACAAGATTGAACAGCCCTACAACCAAGATTTGGACAGCGGAACATCAAGGTAAGCATCGCGATATCACCGCTTACCTACCTAGTGCAAAACACAAGATTGAACAGTCCAAATACAGGGGTAAAGGCAGCGGAGCATCCTAGGATAAATCGCAACCCACATTACTACCAAATGAGACCAAGATGATGGATTGAACAGGCCAAACACAAGGGAAAGGGCAACAGAGCATCCTAGGATGAATCACAACACACATTACTACCAAATGAGACCAAGATGAAAGATTGAACATGCCAAACACAGGGGAAAGGGCAGCAGGGCATCCTAGGATGAATCGCAATACATACCATCACCAATTGAGACAAAAATGAAGGATTGAAGAGGCCAAACACAAGGGAAAAGGCAGCGGAGCATCCTAGGATGAATCGCAACACATACCATCACCAATTGAGACCAGAATGAGGGATTGAACAGGCCAAACACAAGGGAAAAGGCAGCGGAGCATCCTAGGATAAATCGCAACACACATCATCACCAAATGAGACCAAGATGAGAGATTGAACAGGCCAAACACAAGGGAAAAGGCAGCGAAGCATCCTAGGATGAATCACAATACATACCATCACCAAATGAGACCAAGATGAGAGATTGAACAGGCCTGCGGAGCATGCTAGGATGAATCGCAACACATATCATCACCAAATGAGACCAAGATGAGAGATTGAACAGGCCAAACACAAGGAAAAGGGTAGCGGAGCATCCTAGGATGAATCGCAATACACACCATCACCAAATGAGACCAAGATGACAGATTGAATAGGCCAAACACAAAGAAAAGTGCAGAGGAGCATCTTAGGATGAATCGCAACACATACCATCACCAATTGAGACCAGAATGAGGGATTGAACAGACCAAACACAAGGGAAAAGGCAGCGGAGCATCCTAGGATGAATCGCAACACATATCATCACCAAATGAGACCAAGATGAGAGGTTGAACAGGCCAATCACAAGGGACAGGGCAGCGGAGCATCCTATGATGAATCACAACACACACCATCACCGAATGAGACCAAGATGAGAGATTGAACAGGCAAAACACAAGGAAAAAGGCAGTGGAGCATCCTACAATGAATCGCGACATACACCATCACTAAATGAGACCAGAATGAGGGAGAGAGAGAGAGAGAGAAGGAGAAAAATAAGAAGAGGGGGAAGAAGGAGAAGGAGGAGTAGAAGGAGGACAAGAGGAGGAAAGAGGATGAAAAAGGAGGGGGAAAGGAGGAAGGAGAAGAAGTAGGTGATGCAGTCTCAATCCTGGTGCTCCCTCCCTGGCTATGGCTTCCACCTTCCCCAAGCTCCTCTCCTCCCTTTTTTTCACTTCCTTTAGGCTATGGTAGACTCTTCTAACCTTAGCTAAGGAGTCCTCCCCTCTAGAAGGGCTAATGAGACTCCTTCCAGCCTCTCCTTCTCTCCCACAGCCTGGGGCTATGGCGGACTACTTTCCTCACTACTATCCAACCTCTAGTGCCTCCTCCTCTAGCCTATCACCATATCCAGGCTCTAGACAGGCAGCGGTTCCCCTCCTCTCACTTCTAAGTGAGTAGAGTTCTCTCACAGACTCATTTGGGCAGCATGGGCTCTCCTCATGCAAGTGTGAGAGTGGCGGACTGAACCTTCAACTTTTGTAGGCTGGAACAGGTGCACCACCTAGCCCATAGGCCTTCCCAAGTGCCTCAAGGTGGGCCGAGGTACCCCCAAGGCAATTTTTCACCACTAGGCCCATCCGGAGGTACCTGGGCCTCATTTTGGCCAGGTACATGCAGTCCGAGTGGTTAGTACCAACCCGCACTACCCCTTGGCCTCCCTTGGCCTCTTCTCATCTTCAAAAATGTTGTCTCATAGGGCCCCCAAGCCCAAGGTGCAGCCTTCCTTGAAAATTCAAGGCCTAAAGGCCTTTTTCCTTGTCCTTTTCTGATTTAGGCCTCTTTTGAGTAGGCCAGCCTATTTTTCCATGTGGCAGCACAGTTTCAGCCTTGGATCTGGCTGAGATCCAAGGTCTACAATATTCCGAGCTACCCCCAAGTGGCTCTTGCTTCAATTTTGGGCCTCTAAGTCTATTTTTTAAATTTCTGATGCATCTGGCTCTCTTCTAGGACCAAATACACAGATTTGTCTTTTTCCCTCTTTTGTTTCTTTCTTTTTTGGGCTGCCACCTCATTCCGGAGCTAGCTGTTTTGTGCTGCCATACAAAAACACGGCTAGTTCTCCCCTATCATGAGATCTGATCTCAGATCTATGACTCACAAAAAAAACGGTCAACTCATTTCTGCATTTTCTCTCATTTTATTTTCTTTAATTCAGATTTTGTGGAGATACGACCCCAAGGGTCATATCTCTCCAATCCGGATTTCCCTCCTTGAATCTAGGAGGGATGAGGTCATCATAGAGACCTGCCGGTCCCTACTGCAGCAGTCCCAACAGGCCCGCACATTTTCCTCCACTCATTTC